AATTGCATTTTGTCCAGTACTTCCAACTTAGAAACCACAGGAGCTAAGAGGATAAAATTTCAGTATAATGTTCCCCACCCACGTGCGGCCCCACTAAATTAGATTCAACCTTTCCGTAAGCCTGGGTACCACAACAACGCCGTGGAAGTTCCGGTGGAGAGATTATTACCTCGGCAGCCATGAGAACTAGAAAGCTGAAATTTAACGAGAATGTTACTTGCCACAGTGAGACAGAAGCTGGAATTCTGAGAGACACGAAGCTGAAATTTTGAAAGAATGTTCTTTGCCCAAATGCAACCCCGCAGATTCAAATTCAGCTTTCTTGTATGCCTAGTCTCCTGTATGGCTCGCAAAAGGTCTGGTAGGAGAAATTATTATCTCGGGAACTCGAACAGCTATGAGGCTGAAATTCAGGAGGGAGTTTTTCTGCCTGTGCAGGGACCTCACAACTCAAACTTATCTCCCGTATATCGAAGTCTCCTTTCCCAAGTGAAAGTTTTGGCATGGAAGTCAGTAACTCGAAGGCGAGAAAACTAGAAAGCTGAGATTTTAGAGAGGTGTTCCTCGTCCATGTGCGATCCAAAGTCTCAAATTCCGCTTCCACGCACGCTCATGTTTCTACATACCGGCACGTGAAGTTTTTAGCAGAAAATTTTGCAGCTTAAGAGCCAGAAAACATATCGACCGTTTTTGCATACACGAAAGTGTAAAACAGCGTAAATTTTTAGCAGGCAAACATCCGCTGGACGGAATTGCGCGAAAGCATGTTCGCACCGACTACCCGAGTGCAAGTCGTTGTTTATTTGTGTTTTTAATTATATATCAAGAACTTTTCTGACTGATCTTCAGTTCCCTGACATAATACATTTCGCAGAGTTGTGAGCTTCTGTGCCAAAATTTTGCACTTTCCATGTAAAACTTGCGTGCTACAGCAACAGTACGTATTTCTTGGTTCTATCTGACGTCTCCCGCCTCTTCTTCCTCTTCCCAAAGAAAGAAAATTCCTAAGCAAGCTTTTGATTATTATTATGAGGAAGGAATAGCAAACCGTTGTCGGTCCATTCAACACGCCTGGCTTGAATTGACGTGGTGATTCCTGTGGAGGATAGTATTGCTCCTCGTATGTACTGTTATTTTTGGGCCCGTCCAGTAAGCCTGGCTTGTACGGTCGGTCCGGTTCTGGATAGCATGCTGCATGCGGTGGTGAATGCACTAGTGGACGTTTTCGCACATGCATCTTCGATGGTCCAGCGATGACAGGGCCGGCGAAGAAGCCTCCGAAATTGTCGCTGGTGGCACTGTTGGAAAGTGCAGTCCGTGACTGTTGGCCCGAAGACGAGCGATCAACGATTAACGGCTTTTTTTGTTCAAAATTCCCCTTGTGCGCCGGCAAAATCTTCTTTGGCAAAAGCTCTTTCTCTGAAAAAGAACGTGCAGTTGCAGCAACTTCCTCCACTCCGTCCTTTCCCAGTGCACCCCATTTAAGAGCTGATAAAGGATTAAAACAGTTGCTAAGCAGCACAACTACTAGACGATTTTGAGCAACAGACTACTGATGTTTTTTTTTTTTTTCAAAATGCCAAAAAACTAGGCCGTTCTGAAGTTGATTTATCCATGCGCGCCAGATACTAACCTAAATCATGCAGCTGAGGCGGGTCTGCATCCGGATTGCTGAGCTCCTCGACATATTTCAACGGATCCAGAACAGGACTTCGGATACGCTGCGGTGGTGAACCATCTCGAGATGGTAAATCACTGAAATGGAAAAGAATTTAGGACTTTACATATTAAAAACATTCTT